CAGTACTACATGTTTCATGGTCGGATTGTCGGCGACTAAACCGGCTCCCCCATCAGAATTTTTGGATGGGGTGGTTGGCTAGACACCCAGCAGGACAAAGTAATACCTGGATGAGCTTTCATAAGCCAATGGCCATCTAGCAAAGTGAAGGAAAACCGTTTCAAAGACCCCGTAGAAGGCAACGGGAAACCTCTTCAGTATCCTCCTACAAATACCATGGGATTATATAATTCATGAAAGAAACAGCCTGAATAGGGTTAAGCCCAATAGGGATGATTTTTCGTTCGGTAGAGATTCTCATATGCCACAGGTGACACATGACCGTCATCCGACTACTTGTTATTAACAATAAAATTGTAATGAAGATAGCCGCATGAATTCTAAGAACTTTATATCAAATTGGCAAATTGGAGAATGCTAAATAAGAAATTATTAGATAGATAAAAAAGTGGTGATTTTAAAATAATATACTCTGATGGTAATAAACATGAAAAAGGAGTTGGCGTGATCGTTGATAAAAAGGTTCGCAAAAGCATTTTAGGATATTGGAAAAATTCTTAATAGAATCTTATGAATGAAGCTGAATGGCCATCCATTAAATATCTCCGCAAAAAAGAATATACACAAACTTCAGAGAGGGACGAGGACGAAACTGACTAATTCTATGACATGCTAGACAAGGCAAAAGAGCAATGTTAATCACACAAAGTAGTCATCATCATGGGAGACCTAAATCCTAAAATTGGAAACGGAAAACATCTTGATGAAGAAAATTATGGATAAAGGCTATGCAATGAACGACGGCAAAGGTGAAGCAAATAACCAAGTCATTACAAACACATAGTTCAATGATCATCCTAGAAGATGGACATGGAAAAGTCCTAATGGGCAAGTTCGAAACACAATCGGCAAAAGATTTAGAAACGCAATAAAGTATTCCAAAAGCCACCCAGAGACACTATGGAAGTGACCATAATCCAGGGATATGCAAATTGCAATAAAGCTAAGAAAACTGAGAAGAACTCAACAGTCTCCCCAACTACAATATAAAAGCTTGCAGGTGGATCAAGAAAAAATCAGTATAACATAGCTGTAAGAAATACATTTGAAGTGCTATGAAATGAAGAATCCAAGTTAACTTTGGGTTGCTGTATAGAATCGATTATTGCAGTAGCTAAAGAACTCAAACCTGACAAGGAGAAGCAGAGCAAGGATAGATGGATAACAGGGGAAATCCTCCAAAGGAAGTAATGAATACAAAAATATCGGCAAGAAAATAAACGCTAAATGCAAGAAAGCCAAAGGGCCATGGATAAATGATGAATGTGAAGAAACTAAACGCCTTCAAAGAACAAACACGGCTTTGATGCATAAGAATATAAAGTCAAATTCAGTCAAAATGTCAACATGTGCACGTCAAGTGGATCCATCAAATAAAAAGATGACACTTTGATAATAGAGAGAGCTAAAATCTTGGAATGATGGTCTGGATATACTTAACGACTGTTTCACGATGAAAGAGGGTCAGAAACCAGTTATCAGAAAGAATATAGACGGTCGAAGAATCATAAAAACAAGTTAATGCAACTGTTAAACATTCGAAAAGGAACAAGCTAGCGAGCCCAGGCGGAATAGTGGTGGAAATGACTGAAAAATTTGAAGACTGGAATTAATACAGTAACTGAACTGATAATTGAAATTTGACAGTGGTACCATCCCAGAAGATCTGAGTAAATCCGACAATAAACCTGAAATTGGGAAAGAGCAATGTGAATATATGAAAGATACCGGAACAAGGTATGCAATTTTACCTTAAAAATTATATGTGAAAGATCCATCGAAATGCAGAATGATATCTGTGTCAATGATTATACCAAAAACTTTTGACAAAGTGAAACATCGTCAGCTATTGGATATGCTCCAAGATTTAGATATAGACGGGGGAGATATACGGCTATTAAGAAATCTGTATTGGCAACAAATAGCAGGCATGAGGAGTGAGGATGGAATTAGCAATTTAACAGATAAAGAGAGGAGTACGCCAATGCGGTTGAGGATCAAAGCTTTCTTGTGATAGGAGGTTACCTTGTGACATCTAAAATATACAGATGACACAGTGTTGATAAGTGACTCTAGAGATCAGTTACAAGAGATTCTGGATAAGGTACCAAGAGAGAGAGAGAGAGAGAGAGAGAGAGAGAGAGAGAGATAGAGAGAGAGAGATAAGGTTATCAATTAATTGTAAAAAGACTGAATGTATGGGTTGTAAGCAAAAAATCGGACATGCCAGATTGCCAATTAACAATTAGAGAAACAGCGATAATGCAGGTTGAGACACTCAGCTTAGAAATTTAATTACATCAGACGGAAGTGACAGCGAGGATCGGAATGTCAAAAACTATTTTCGAGAAAATGGAAGATACTCAAAAACAGACAATTATCAATGAGAACAAAATTAAGAGTATTAGATTGCTATATATACCCAATAATGGTACACCTTAGTCATCAAATAACATCATCTGACACATAGTAATGGAGACTGACTGGCTCTGATAATACAAAACGTATTGCTGCTCTTGTATTGCGCGCCATTACTCTTCTTTCAACTATGGATTCAGTGGAACCCCATTCATTGGATAGCTTAGGCATTTATTTCCTAATAATTTATCCAGGCGTGGGCAGAGCTCACCGACGAACGGAAAAATAGAAGGGAAGACTTCTCTTATTGATTTGAGTCTGTTATTCTAGGCTTATCCAAAGTGCCTGCTTCATATGACAATAATTCATTCCTCATATCAAGATTTTTGCATTCCTAAGATCGTGATATATAGTGGTAACCACAATTCACGCCGAAAACTCGACCATCATAGCTACTTTCATTAAGTAAATCACCAGCAAAGACGTGCATAAGGGGAGGAGGTATGGCGATTTTTCATCGCCCTGCAGAGCCCTCGATGGAAAGAGACCCATAAATGTTGTGTTTCATATCAAATGCTTACGTACAGGCAATAAAAGATAAGTTTTCAAGTTCAAATTATTGAATATGTGTTTGTATTCGGTAAATATATAATTCCATCAAACAAAAATTATTGGGGGTCCTTCAATAGGCCTATTGAGATCCCCCTCGCCCCCCTATGTCCCCAAATGTCAGCTACATCACTGTTCACTCGTAATGCAGTGAACTAGAACGCTTTGAAGAGATTTTAATGAGTAAAAGAAGGAGAAATGCATTATACGATCCGGTATTTGTTGCTCCCACGATCACGCTGCACTCAGATCGACCGGCCATTGAATCAACTGTTTTACATGGCGCAGTAGAAATGTACAACTCATGTCGAATTCACTTCATACAGAGATGAAATAAAACAAATGTATATGCATTGATTTTCAGCCGGTGGACCCCTTCCCTGTGAAAATCTGCAATAGTACTTGTAGAATTGGTGCTCATGAGAATGTAAAATTATCCACGATAAAATTGTAAAAGAACTTTACTCTGTTATTATTTTCATATTATTGTAATTGTATAGCTGCCTATATTTAAAGATAGAGTAAGAGTAATCTGTAACATAATTTGATATAAGGTCATTAAGTGTATTCAGTACACGACAGCTTATTCACGAGCATTTATATTTTCAAAACAGGCGCGTGAGTCTCCCCGAATGCGAAGGCTCCGATCTCTGCCGGGCGACGCTCCGGAGTGTAAACAAGGGCGCCACAAGACTTGCAAATTTCTGTGGATGTAGTGACTTGGCATAGGTATTTTCTAGAGACAGTTTTTAATCAGTTTATTTAAGAGATGAGAATATGATGTTTTGTTTTTTGGTCTGATGTTTAGGTAAATGATAATGTAGATTAAAGTAAATGGATTGTCTACTTATTTATTATTATTTTTTTTACTTTGGTTTTACACTCCAAGACCAGAATAAACTTTGCAGACTATAAGTTTAAGAGAACAAATCCTTAATCTCTCAAGTTTTGTATTTAAAAAAATGCTCAGCATCCACCTGCAGGATTTTGCATATTTTTTGAAAGCCCCAAATTGTCAACAAAAAATATTAAACCTTTAAGTAGACAGCAGTAGTTGCCAAGAGCATTTATATGTATAGTGTTCACACCAACAGTCCTATTATACTTTGTTTTTACAGGCATGTAGTAGAAGGTAAAATTTGTCTGCAATGAACAGAATGACTGGACATGACACTTTTCATCTGTTATTTCCTATGTGGGACGATAATATAAAAGTTGTGCAATACATAATCCTTTAGTATACATTTACAGGAAAATGTAATGACACTGATAATCAAAGAGAAAAAACTACATGCACTATTATATGAATAATCTGCATAAGCAGAAAATATAATCAGAAATGAAGAAAAAGGTCACAACAAATGCCACTTCGAGAAAATGTCCACAGCGATCAGGTGGGGATCCTGGGGCGGAGCCCCTAATAGGGAAATACAACAATTGGATGGGGGTCTGTGTCCCTAGACAGTCAACTAGGGACAAAGTGATTGTCATGGCATCTGGAAATTGAGTTCACTGGCAAAAGTTATTAACGAGACTGTATAGTCTGGTCTGTGTGGGGAATGCATTCCCTGCACAATAATAACTGCCTTGTTTTTCATCTGTGCAAAAAAATTTCTGCGACTTATTTCCATGCAGATTTTCGACCAGTTCACTGGGTTACCCGCATGGTTTTTATGGAGGCTCATGCTTTTTGCTTGTGTTTACAAAGATGAGCTTTGCCATATGCCTGTTTCCTTCCTAGACCTCTTTTTCGCTGCATGGTGACGCATTTTCAGTAACATCGTACTGCAACAACAACAACAGCATTTCTAAAATATAGGATTATGTGGCAAATCTGTGCATTCTAAATTCAAAATTGATTCACTCTTGTTCGCAGCAATGACTTTGTGAAAAAAATGAAAACTGGGCTATTTATATTCATGGAAGAGGATAAGTTCCATTTTTTATATCAAATTACCAGGGAGCTATGTATG